ATATATATATATAAAAAAAAGAAAACAACATTTAATCCAGGCACCCCTGGGTTCAATCCCTAGTATCTCCCCCCCCATGCCACCCCAAAAAAAAAACAAGAAAAAACAGACAATACAGACAGACACAGGGTCTCATATTCACTGGGCTAAGCTTCAACTTATCAGTTCCAAGCAAATCTTTCTGCCTCAACCTCCTGAGTAGTTGGGATTACAAGTGTACCCAGATTAAAAGAATCCTTCAATGGCAAGAATACACATACATTACAGGTCTTACAAAATGAAAAATCAGAGAACACACATCCATGAGGACCAAAAAACAACCATTTCACAGGGCACACTGGTGCACACCTGTAATCCCAGCCACTTGAAAGGCAGGAGAATCACAGCTTCAAAGTCAGCACTGGCAACTCAGAGAGACTTCACCTCAAAATAAAAAATGAAAGGGCTGGTGATATGTAGCCCAGAAATAGGCTATCCCTGGCCCATCCCTAACCATGTTAATATGCATGAAATCCCTTGCATGATATATTTTGAGCATACATTTGAATTTACCCTTTCTATGGTTATTATTGGTTACTACTTTCTTCTTTCTTTTTTTTTTTTTTTTTTTGGTAGTTGTAAATGGACAGTATGCCTTTATTTTACTTATTTTTATGTGGTGCTTAGGATCGAACCTAGTGCTTCACACATGCAAGCACTCTGCCACTGAGCCACAACTCCAGCCTGGTTGGTTACTTTTCAATGTGAAAATACTGCCTTCCTTATTTTTTAGTGGAGGGTACCAGGGATTGAACCCAGGGGTGATTAACCACTGAGCCACATCCCCAACCCTTTTATTTTTTGAGACAGGATCTCACCAAGTTGCTTAGGGCCTTACTAAAGGCCTTACTAAATCGCAGAGCTTGACTTTGAACTTGCAATCCTCTTTTCTCGGCCTCCCAAGTGCTGGGATTATAGGAGTGCACCACTGCACCCAGCAACTTCCTTAATTTTTTTTTTTGTGATAATCTTAAGAGAGCTATTTATAAGTATGATTAAAAAAAACAGGCTCTATTTGCCAATTTCAACTCTAATTAAAATTATACGGACAAAGGAGGACCCGGTGGTGCATGGTTCATGAGGGCTGAGGCAGGTGGATTGCAAGTTTGAGGCAAGTCTGAGAAACTCAGTAAAATCTTGTAAAAGATTAAAAAAAAAATGGCTGGGGGTATAGTTCAGTAATAGGACACCTCTGGGGGGTGTAATAGGATACCCAGTAGTGGGGGGGGTAAGGCTGTGTAAAAGTATGTGAATGGGGAAGAGATAGATGGGTTATCAGCAGACAAGAGAAAGGCAGAAAACACTGGCTTCCCAGTCTGAACTAAGCAAGTAAACAAACCTCCAAAGCCCTCCAACCCTAATTCTTTTTCTTTCTTTTTTTTTTTTTTTTTTTTTGGTACTGGGGAATTGAACCCAGGGGCACTTTACCACATGAATAAACATAATATGCCTGAGATGTTCTGTGAGGATATGGTGTGGACAAGTAAATGTGGAAATGACCAGTGAAATGCAAAATTTAAAATGCTCTTAAAAGGAGAGACCTTAAGCCAGGCACAATAATGCATACCTGTAATTCCAATGATTCAGGAGGGTTAGCTAAGAGGATTGCAAGTTGGAGGCCAGCCTCAGCAAGTCCCTAAGCAACTTAGTGAAAACCTAAGCAATTTAGTGAGACCCTGTCTCAAAATAAAAAATAAATATGGCTGAGGATATAGCTCAGTGGTTTAGGTACCTCTGGGTTCAATATCCAGCACCAAACATAAAAAAAAAAAAAATAAGCCAGGTGTAGTGGTACATGACTGTAAGCAATTCCAGAGGCTGGGGAGGGAGGCTAGCAAGTTCCAGTCCAGTCTCAGCAATTTACAGAGTTCCTAAGCAATTTAGCAAGACTATGTCTAGAATTAAAAAATAAAAAAGTCTGGGGATTGGGCTGGGATTGTAGCTCAGTGCTCAGTGGTGGAGTACTTGCACAGCATGTGTGAAGGACTACGTTCAATTCTCTGCACCACATGCAAATAAATAAAATAAAGGTCCATCAACAACTAAAAACAAAACAAAAAAAAAATAATTTAGCTGGGTGGCGCATGCCTGCAGTCCTGGCGGCTCACAAGGCTGAGATGGGAGGATCTCAAGTTCATAGACAGCCTCAGCAATGGCAAGGTGCTAAGCAACTCTGTGAAACCCTGTCTCTAAATAAAATACAAAATAGGGCTGGGGATGTGACTCAGTGGTTGAGTGCCTCTGAGTTCAATCCCTGGTAACAAAATAAAAAGAAAAGGTCTGGATATGTAGCTCAGTAGTAAAGCACCACTGGGTTCAATACCCAGTACCAAAATAAATAAATAAAAATAAAATCTACTGGATGTGGTGGCACAAGCAGGTAATCCCAGCGTTTCAGGAGGCTGAGACAGGAGGACTGCGAATTCAAAGCCAGCCTCAGCAAAAGCAAAGTGCTATGCAACTAAGTGAAACCCTGTCTTTAAATAAAGTATAAAAAGGTTCTGGGGATGGGGCTCAGTGGTCAAGTGCCCCTGAGTTCAATCCCTGGTTCCAAAAAAATAAAATAAAATAAAATAAAATAAAATCTGGCAGTACTGGGGATTGAACACAGGGATGCTTCCATCACTATTATCATTCAGTGGTCGCACACCCCTAGGTTCTTTCACCAATACTGCCAAAAGAAAAAATTTAAAAAGGCATTACTACTCAATATCAAAAGGAGAAAAAGTTCATAATCAATGGTGGAAAGAACATAGAAAAACAGACAACTAATGTTGGTACTGAAAGATGAACAGATTAATTAGAATTAAGGTAATAAACTTTCCTTTTATGCTTTCATTTTCTGGAAAACTGATTTTGACTGTGTGAGCCAGTTTATAGTTTTGAACACATTTCTACCAATTCTCACTATAAAGTCATTCATCCAGGCACAATTACAAATGCTGGGGATAGACAAAACTCCTGTCTCCTTAGGTTTCCATTTCCACTTGTTATCCCCTTGCACCCAAGAAGTATATTTTTCTTCTTCCCTTTCAAAACATACATCTTCTTTTTCTTTTTTCTTTTTAATATTTTTTTAGTTGTTGACAGACCTTTAGTTTATTTATTTTTATGTGGTGCTGAGAATACAACCCAGTGCCTCACACATTCCTGGCAAGTGGCTTCCCTGAGCCCCAGCCCCCATCTTCTTTTTCTTGAGATGCCTGCTGATGCTCAAATCAAACACTTTTTGAGCAACTATTAGACACTACAGAGTACACATACTTGAGTAAGGCAGGGTCCCTGGTATGAGAAGCTCAAAACAAACTATGAAAGACAAGTAAACAGTAACAATAAAGTGAGCTGTAGCAGATGCAGGTCTGTAATCCCAGGGACTGGGGGCTGAGAACCTAAGCAACTTAGTAAGACCCTGTCTCAAAATAAAAAATAAAAAAGGGTTGGGTTTGTGTGGGGGATGTGGCTCAGTGGTTAAGCGCCCCAGGGTTCAATTCCTAGCACCAAACACACACACACACACACACACACACACACACACACACACACACA